TTACTGATTTTTAATGATTTTTAGTTTTCATTTTATCTTATATTGTGATTGACGGCCAATTTAAATATATTTTTAATACTATTTAAATAAATCACAATATGACGCACCTACAATATCTAATATAATGTGTACTTTAAATGCTGCATGGTCTGGTAATTGTGTTGAAATGAGTGGAGGATTAAGACTGAATGTCAAGATTGTAGCACATTTATTTCATTTCACTCAGCTTATGAGCCAGGTTTCATATTAAGATGCACAGCATTGATTTGAAACATGAACTACATACTGTTTGCATTTTGTAACTACCTCAATGGTACATTTACCATTTTTCCTCAATTTTAAGACGTCACTGATTGTAAGATGCACCAGTGATTTAGCAATAGGGTTTTCAGGGGAAAAAAAATGTTCAGTACAATTGTCAGCCTACAAACAAAAATTCTTTGTAATAATAATTTCAAAACTTTCTGTGTTGCTATCTTTGTATTTATTGTCCCATGCGTAATGTTGCAGACATGAGTATTTTCCTTGTGCTGTACTTACACAACATGATTTTTTGACAATGATTAGTAGATGCTATCAAATGTAAGATGTACCCCAGGATCAGAAATGAAAAAAAAAAGTTCTTAAAATCAAGGAGATACAGTAATAATTATTGAGCTCGTCAAGAAATTACTGCTGAAGGTTCATCATATTTGCAAAACGCAACTATTCCAGTGTGCCTTGCCCTGCTTTTAAATTCTGTTTTTCTTTTATATGAGTGATGTATGTAGTATATTGTACTCATGTGTAAGAAACTTGACAGATTTAGAATGTACAACTTCTTAAAGCATCAAGTCAAAATTATTATGTATATTCAGTAAAAATGAGGCTTCTCAATTTGAATTAAACTTATGTACAAATTAAATGTGTTCCTAAAGGAATTTAATCCAGAAAGCTGGTCACTAAATCCAGTTACTAACTTATTCCCATTCCCTTTTACTTTTACTATTCCACTATAAGAGGTAAATGAGGGAAGATCTTGTAGTTATTTCTGGCATGTGTCTCAGTCCAGGTGTTTCTTTTGCTGTTAACATGTTCACTCCAGGTACTCTGCTGCAGGCTGAAGAGATCAGAACATTGACCTGTCTCCCCCACCTAGTACCAAAATTGAAAATGTATGGTGCTTTACCTCCATTTTCTTCCATCCTTCAATGAGTGTTTCACCATTCTATTTCTGAATTGTCTATCATGTAGTAACCTGATGATAATGGAATTTGACATTAATATACTGCATTTCTTGTTAAAAAGGTTACAGGTGTCCTGCCTGTATTTTCTTGCACAATGCTGCATACAGTTATAAGCTTTCACAAAGTTGTAAGATTTAAGGTTTTCACAGAGGTGAGCATGAAGATTTCTGTCTTCTGGGTTGTTGCGCTGTGTAGTCTGGTCTATGACGGAGGCAGTATGACCTCTGAAACGTTGGTTAACATCGACCAGACTACACAGCGCAACAACCCAGAAGACAGAAATCTTCATACTCTGAGCCCTGATGACGGAGGCAGTATGACCTCTGAAACGTTGGTAAACATCTACCAGACTACACAGCGCAACAACCCAGAAGACAGAAATCTTCTTTCACAAAGTTCTTGGCTCACATTGCTTCTTGCAGCAATGTATGCAATTATGGCTGAAGGTCATGTGATTCTGAAGCACCCATCATCTCCTGATGTAAAATAGTAATAAGTGCAAGGTATTCCAGCATGTTACAAAAGTAACTGAGGCCAGTCATAAGACTATCAGGTGTTCTCTTCTTGCGTGACTGCTCAACTCCATGAGTTTCAGAAAGCAATGCATAACAGTGGATCATAAGAAACTAATCAAAGTGACAAGAATATGAGCAGTAAATAACCACAATGGCACGTTCAGAATTTATATCATTATGTATGTTATATCTTATAAGGTTACGAGACTGTGGGAAACTGTAGTGACATTCTGATTACGTGCTATTGAGCAGAACTGACATAAATGTTTTATTGAGGTTGTTGGGTTTTGGACTTTGTGCATCGTCCAAGGTTAAAATGTGTACGACGTTTCGAAAACCAGATCCGTTTTCGTCTTCATGTGTATG